ACATTGTGTGTGTGTGTGTGTGTGTGTGTGTGAGTTTGTGTGTGTGTGTGTCTGTGTGTGTGTTTGTCTTCCACACATTTTTCTTCTTAGTGTTAGTTTGGTCCATACCAAGAAATAACCTCTTTCGCCCGCACTCGTCTGCTAGTGTTCAGGTTACTTCCGGAGTTCCGGGTCTCTCAGATATCACTCCGTCAGTGGAAGCAGTTAAAAGTCAGTCAGTCAGGTCAGTCACCATTCACACCCACAGTCTACAGATGTAAATCGAGTAAGTAGTAAGTGGTTTTTTGGTTGCAGCTTTGATTGTTTTATTTATTATCATTTAAATTTAATTTGCATATACGTGCAAGTTTGGGTTTTCCCCCCATTTCTTTGCGTGCGGTTTGTGTGTGCAGGCCTATAGGGAAAAGGGCGGGGGAGGGGGGAGGCGATAAGTTATCATATGCCAGTGGGGTGCCAGAGGGATATAACAACCCAGCAGAAAGAACGACATACACGATAAAAATTCTTCCCATTTGGAAATAACCGTTATACAACAGATGTCGGTAAGTACATGTATTATGTTTGCAAAGAGTAGGGGCAAAACTTGTTCTAAAAAGAACAGTTTGAGAATTTGAGAAACGCTTTTGTCATGCCGGTGGTGACATAATATACCTATGTACCGGTATACATGTACAAATATACAAACAGTCGGCTTATTTGCGCATGAAATGTCCTAGACACTTCTTTAAATCGGTTTAATCTTTTATATATAAGTGTACGTAGTTTCTTTTCTCGTACACAGTCTCAAGTCACGATTCATTGAATGTACAGAATCGCTGACAAATGCTGGTCCGTGGAAAAAAAGGAAAGTTACGAGGGATTAACTGTTCCACGGCTTCAGCAGCCTGTGAAAGCCGCTTACATGCTTTAAGTACATTTAAGTATATGTATTTCTCAAGAAACGACAGTCACAGAACGCGCAAAAGATTACGCCCCTGAGGTTGCAGCACTGAGATACAAAGCAATATACTTGTCAAGTCTGAGACCTTGTCCCTCTGCAGTCCGTGGGTCAATATTATTCTATGTGTGACGGCCTGGGAAAAACCACAGAAAAGTCACACAGGTCAGAATAAAGCCATGGGCATAAAACAATCGAATTGGGGTCATGGGTTAAAAAGAAAGTTCGGAGGGAGATTTTTTTTTTTCTCAGTACCTAATATGTTTCAAATAAGAAAGGGGAAAAAAGGGGAAAATTATCCAAAAATGTCAACATGGATATTTGTTAACCCTACCCATTCCCACTGTTACGCAATATAATGGAGTGGTTGATTGGAGGGCGTCACTGGTTGGTCCTATTCATTTCTTTCCCTCTGTTGTTTCTGTCTGTCTGTCTGTCTGTCTGTCTGTCTTACTTTTTCCTAGCACTAAATTACTGTTATTGTGTCGATGTCCTTTTCTTTTCCTAAATAAACAAACAAAGAAAGAAACCAGCAAGCATCTACTTTTTTAGGACAAAGAGGGCTAGTAGTCCTAGGGAAACTACATGTACCTGTCATCGGTGTAGTAAACAATCCGTTTGGGTATTTTTTACTCCAAAGACAAAAAAAAATCAAGTTTTTGTTGAGTTGTTCCTGTCGAGAATCATGAAAAGCAAGAAAGTTGCAAGCTTCGGCCTTTGCATTAAACTGCATTTTGGTGATGTTGAAAGGCACATCTGTGGTAGAGCTGGGGGGGGGGGGTCGAAAATTATCATAATTTGGACTTGGATGGATTGCTTGTGACTGCGACGATGTATTTGGATGAGATGAAAATCTGGCCTGCTGTTGGAAAGGGTCGAGGAAGGAAAGTGCAGCATCAAATTCAGGACACCCGTTGAGTGTCTAGAGACTAACTTTGGTTTTTCTCAGTTTTCGCTCCCGTCGGTTTTCTTTAAGAAGCAACCAATAACTAGCAAAGACTTTTATAAAACTTCAAAACGTTAATAATTATTTTCAAAATCCGCAGTTTTAGAACCTAAGTGGGTGGTTGGCGGGTGCTCTAGTGTGGTTTTTTGCTCCTTGTTTCCTGTCAAACATCTCACATCCTTATTAAATCTCTATCTTTTCTGTGTATGGTACTCTCCAGTACAATGTAGTAACTCCTCTAACTCTATTCTCCCGCCCTTATATCATGACCTTTTTGTGTTGCAAGTACCGTAATACAACAACAACAAAACCCTTACTAAAACTAAAAAGAAAACCTTACCTCAAACAGTGGTATGTCCGACCCGCCCTCCGTTTTTCCTATTCAGTCGTTACCCATATAATCATTACAGACAGGCATGTCTTTCCGTTTCCACCCACATTGCCTGCAGGATTGTAAATCTCCGTCGGCATGTCGTGACGCGGCTTTTGTTTGTTTATTTCCTCGGTTATCTTAGTCACCATCGTCTTTCCACCCTTCTCCTAGCCCCCACCCTTCTCCTAGTCCCACCCTTCTCCTGGGTCATAATTATGACGACACGAAGAAGCAGTGGGCCTACTTTTTGTAGCTTGCAAGGTTCCGTATTTGCACAAACCAAGCAGTCAGCGAAAAGGAACAGCGAAAATGTATGAACGCTGTACACATACATGAAGTATAATGTCGGGTGATGAGTACATCAAAACCAAATGAAAACGAAGTCAGGTATGACACTTTATTTCATACATTTTAAGACGTAAGGTTATGGTTATCCTGTCTGAAAAGAGAATACTCAAAACAAACGGCCACTTCTAACATGTTCTACTTTTTTTAATATTCTGCATTATGAAACAACAGAATGGGATTCGAACCAGGTGGCCCACACCGCAGGGTACAGTTATGAAACTGAACTAAAACCAAACGTGAAATCTGTGTGCTCAGACGGACAAAAAACCCGAGGCATGAACTCAAAGACAGACAAAACAACAACACAATCACACCCACTTCTCTTGGAAAATATTGCTACCCCAAGGGAATTGTTGTACACGACAAGACACTTACTTCTGTAAACACAGATTCAAGAGACCGAGTGTATTAAACACGTTATCAATGTTGTTGTTGTTGTTGTTGTTGTTATTGTTGTTGTTGTCGTCGTTACAGTATTATTATAATTGTCGTCATCATTCATATTGTTTTTGTTATTGTTATCTTTATCACTCGTTCTGTAGTTACTGTTATCATTTCGTGATCAATCAGTCAATCACAATCAGTGACTAATAAAACTGTAGAACGTTAAGCAAAATGGTATATATTAAATTCCAAGCAAAATAGGAAAACAACACGAACCAACAATAACAAGGAATCAACAATAACAAGATGCTAACAGTAACAACAAACCAAAGAGAAACAAACGAGCACCGAAGACCACAAAACTTCAACAAGTCAAGTAAACTGCTTACCCCACTATAGAATACCGTGTTATGAACTTCCTGGTGGGCACAGTTTCCCGAAGGTCAGTGTCCCGAGTCACCCCGACTCTGTGTCCATCTCCCTCACGACACAATGTCCACTCCACCCCTCTGCAACTACAGCAACGACGCCACTTCTGTCTCCTCCGTCAGTAGAACGTCCAGTGCATTGTCTTTTCTGGCCCAACACCTCCACACTCCACAACCGCACGATTTCTCCCACCTGTTGCAAAATCCAAACAGCCGACAGAACTATGCTTGCAGCAGCCGAGGTGGTTCAGAAGAAAATAAAACCCGTTCACAGTATGATAATATTTTATGGATCTGTTATGCTCACTCCTTATGCAGCTGCACTATTTAACGTTCTTCATAATTAGACATGTAACCCATGTTATCATGTATAAATCTACTGTATAAATCAACTGTATAAATCTACTCGCACTCTCAGCAATCAAGTTCCGATCAATACGGCAGAAATCCACAATGTGAATTCAGCATGGTGAATTATTATACTTCCCAAGTATTACCCACCTTATTAGCCGTCCCTGTTGCTTTAAGTAGGATTACGTTTGGCATGTGTTTAGAAACCTATCAACCTATCAATATCATGTGACTCGTCGCAAACCCACGAGCGAGCCAGGTGAGACATGTCACGTGATCACAAATCGGAATGACTGACAGCTCTCAGATAAATAGGAGACGATTTATAGCGATCGATCATGCATGACCATTGATTTTAATTGAAATGTTTAGTATAGTATGTACATGTAGACAACGCATTAATAGGTAAGCTTCGATTTACTTCGAAGTTAATGGGCAAACGATCCAGCCCCTCGTTAAAAAAAAAAAGCAAATTATACAACTTCATGTCTTACTACATTTGTTCTACAACATCTTCTTCTTCTTCTTCTTCTTCTTCTACTTCTTCTTCTTCTTCTTCTTCTTCTTCTTCTACTACTACTACTACTACTACTACTACTACTACTACTACTACTACTACTACTATTACTACTACTACATGTACTACTACTGCTACTACAACTGCTGCTGCTTCATCATCACCATCACCATTGTTGAAAAGCACGAAAGTTGGGTAGTTCTGTTTGATATAAAGATACAAAAATTGAAGCTTTACCGGGAACATGATTTGGAGAAAAACAGACAGAAAGAACGAAAACGCTGTGGCTACGTGAACTTTCGCTAAGTTGGATCTGAATCGTGATCAACGATTCATTATCACCATAAAAATCACAATAGCTAATTGCCCATTCACTCTTGTATATATTAATCTACACTTTGAGCAGACTCTTACATTACTTCGTTATTAATGCAACATTTAGCTATTTACACAACGAAGTGAACAAATGAGGGGCAACTATACAACCCCCCCTCCCCCCAACCCGAGCGCGTTTTGCCCATTTCGCTTTTCTGGAACGTTTTGAATTTGTGATTTGAGTTGCCAAGTGTCATATTATGTTTTATGTTTAAGGCAGAAGCGCCCTTGAAACATTTTGCGAGCGGCTTGCATTCGCCATTTTCCCCACATTTTCTTAATCGCCAAAATTCACGAATTCACGCCAAGCGCGAAAAAACAACAACAAAACAACAACAACTGCTATGTTGTATTTTCATAAAGTTACAACATGTTCTTACGACACCGGTCTAGTAGCCTACAACTTAGACTATGCCGACAAAGAGGTTATAAATAATAGTATTAGTAGTCTAATACCCTCTTTGCCCTGTGCCAAACGCGAACTGCTCTCATCATGAATGATCATGCGGATACAACAAGTCACACTCACCACAAATCTGTGTCAGAAGCTGTCCGCTGGCTGGGTGTTTGAAGGCTCGCGCTGGAATAATGAATTGTAATCCGTGTGTACCAAGGACCTTTGAATTCTTTTTACGAATAACCACCTTAATGAATAAGCAGAATACTGTTTAAAAAAACTCGCTGGTATAAGCTTACTCTACCTCCTTTATGTATCATGTATACGGTACTCTATTTCTGTCCTGTTCTTGCGACCATCTTCTACCTCTGGCTTGTTCACAATTCTCTTGGAGAGCCCATTGCGTCATCAAAAGACGTACTGGTAGTCAAACTTGGAAAAAACAGCAGCTGCTAGTGCTAAACATAACATTGAGTGAGAAACGACTCTTGCTCTCTTCTTATCCTAAACTTACGCAAAGCTCCCACTACGCCCCGCGGTTATTATGAGTTTTATTTAAAAAATAATTTTAAAATAAAAAAAAGAAACTTTAAGCATTAATGGTTAGTGTTGGCGGCCTCGTCTGATAGCCTATGGTGTAACGGTCACATAAAGGGCGTGTCTGGCCTAATCGTGCTCTAGTGTGTGTCATGATATTCTGGATCACGGCTAGAGACATAGCATAGAGAGAGATTTCGTGTTCTGGCAAACTGCAGTAAAGTACCGTGTCGTGGAATGTGATAATAATCCCTGGCCTTTTGTTTCATTATGCTCAGTGTGCTGGCCGTCTCTCTCTCTCTCTCTCTCTCTCTCTCTCTCTCTCTCTCTCTCTCTCTCTCTCTCCCTGCCTACCAGTCTATCTGTCCGTCTTTCTCTTTGTCCCCTCAACCCCTCCCCCTTTTTTCACGTTCTCTCTCTCTCTCTCTCTCTTTATTCTATCCATCTATCTACCTGTCTATCTATATCTCTCTACCCCTCCCTCCTTCCCACCTTCTCTCTCTCTCTCAATCTACATCCCCATCTATATATATATCTATCTTGCTCTCTACCCCTTCCTCCTTCCCACCCTCTCTTTTTCACTTTCTGTCTATCTATCTATCTGTCTTTCTCTCCCTCTCGCCCTCTACCCCTTCCTCCTTCCCACCCTCTCTTTTTCACACTTTCTGCCTATCTATCTATCTGTCTGTCTTTCTCTCCCTCTCGCCCCCCCCCCCCCCTCTCTCTAAAAACCACTTGCGAATAATTTCCTTAGTGCTTGGACTTGGAAGCCACTACTGCCACTCAGCCCCGAGAAGGGAAATGACTTGCAGTCCCGTGAAGACCCAGGCAACTCTCGGGATCTCATCTCAGCAAGGGTACCGGTACACGATAGATCTAGTACTAGTACTAGTAATATTATATATAATGTGTCACTTCCATCGTTCTGTTAATTAACTCGGCACTTCTCAATGTTCCACACATCCGTGACAGACAAGCACGGAGACGGGTGTGGTTTGCGTGCTGCTCTGGTAAAGACACTTGTTTCGTTAATTGAATGTCCAGTGCCGGATTCGTCCCCTGGATTCCACTGAATTTGTTTGTGTTACAATTACAAGATGAAATCCTTGAAAATTGAATCGTAACAGCAGATATATATACATATAATAATATACATTAACATGATAAGTGTACTAGCACCTTTACCCCACTTTGCATCAACGAACATTTCTTTTGTTTTATTATAACATGTTTGTTTTTGGGTAAGAAGAGAAACCGAAGGGAGAGATACTTGTCAAACAAGAACGTGGGTCATCATACGTGTACCAGTGCCCCCCCCCCCCCCCCCCCTTCCTTCCCTCAGTAAATACTTCATTTAATTTATTTTTAACTCAAAAAAAAAAAAATGAGACAAGTTAGAGGTGCCACAGAACTGCTCAATGTCTCAGGTCTGAACCAAAATCTTTTTTTTTCTTTTTGGATAAAGTTGTCTCTGTCCGTTTGGCTCGGTTTTTATTTTTATGTGAGTCGGACGTTATATCAGAGGTCTCGCCTCTTGTTCATTTCTATATTAGTATTAGTTGAAAGGAGCTTTGGCTTTAGACACCATAACTTGGGCCTGCCGCGTAGCACTAGCACCGGTAAAACTCGACGTTGTTATACTACACAATATTATATAGTTAGTCACTGTTGCCAGGATGGAGTCAATACTGTGTATGTGTACTCGCAACATACGACACGAATCAGAGACTTGACTGGCATTTCGTTTATTACATGTAGGCCTACTGTTTCTCTGTAATTTAGTGTAAATGAAAGCAAGAGTGCCTTTCCTGCAGCCCCTCCCAGCCTTGCCAGAAATCTGACCTTTGACTTTGAATGTAAAAGTAGAGCGTATTGGGAGCATGTAATGATTAATATATATGTCGGCCCACATGTTGTTAGCTTGTTATTTGGGGGGATTCTGATGATACTGATACACTCTGTGCTACCGCCCGTAAAAAAGCAATGCTATTGTTAAATACATGTATAAATAATGTAGACCTACTCTGATTCTCCAAGCATTAAAAACAAAAAAAAACAAAAAATATTTATTCAAAAATCGTGTTTTCTTTACTTTGTTTAGGGGAGGGGGCAGTTGAAGAACTTCTCTTGACTTAGCTTGAGGAGAAGCTAAAAACATTGGGCAACTTTGAAATCAGGGGAAATAACGGTGAAAACCCAACAATCGTATTACATGTATTATGTAGGCTATTGTCCGTGGCAACTGATCAGATACAATTTGAGTTTCGATTCCTTTATACATGTGTACAGTGTATTATGATTGATCACAAACCAAAGACTGGAGCTGGAACTGTGGTCAGTGAGCTTTAATTAAACAGACTTTGTGGGTCAGTTGCACATTCCCCATACAATGATACATGTAGGCCCTATTCCGTCAATTCATCTGCGTATGAGCCTCACACTCCGTTGCAGTGGGTCGCAGATTTCACTGGACCGACGCGATACAATCCCTGTTGCGTGTACTGTTATAGAAGGGGATCAAGTAATTAACGAGTAAAAAATGGGATCGATTTTACTTAATATGCAGAAACTCGAGTCCGATCCCCGATGGGAGCAATGATAGTACATAACTTCTCTCTTTGAGCCAATTAAAAAAGTGTCCTCCAAATTTGGTGGCGCCCTCTTCACAAAAGCGCACTCTTTGCGAACAGAGTTACCCTACTTGAGTTTTACAAAATCAAAGTGAAACTAGCAAGTTTTTTGGATAAATTTCGGAAGAACGCTTTTTTAAAATGGTTACGCTGACAAAAAACCTCTTCCGGAGGAAAGGGTGATGGTTTTCTTTGTTTAATTTGACTTTAGAATGAAAGGCGAGAGGTCATTAAAATATAAAAAAAACTAAAACTCCGCACTGAACGTACCCGAACTGCTGATGAACAGCAGTCGATCTGCGCACGCAAGGAGGTGCTATTCCTATTCTTCTTCTGGAAAAACGAAAGAGAGCTTCAAAACAGACTGCAGCGCCATCTGAAGCAAAGAGCATACTTCCTGCGGACACTTTTTTGGCTGAGTGGCCCATCTTGTTATGTATTATCATTGATGGGAGGGGGGAAGAGTTCAATCGAGTATTTCCATTTGTCTGTTGGGATAATATGTGCCCTATTCAGCCAGAGTTGAAGCTGTCCACCTTCGACTTATTCAGTCGGGCAGGGACAACGCCAGAGCAAGTACGAGCAATCTTGACGTCTTGTCTAATGCCATTTGCTTTTTATTCTTTACAAGTTCAAATGTTTGAGAACAAATTTAGAGATGTCTTTGCGAGGCAAATTGTTTTAATGAAGAACTCCACTACACTACGGCCAAAGATAAGAGGTGATGCAAGAAAGTAACAAAACACAAAAAAGGAGAGATTAGGATGATAATATAGACGAACGAAGGAGCAAACCATATCAGAACACCCGCCAACCACCAACAGCAAGGATTAGAACCAGCGTCATCTGTAGTACAGCACTGGCACACTGCAAATGTGTCTGCATCAACTGTCTGTGGTGAATAACATTACAACAATGTGGAAGAAACCTATTGATCTGTACCTGTAAGATATGAATTTTAATTAATTTTTTTTTTAATGTAGGCGAATTTTTCAGGCCCATCAACATAATTTGGATTACTTTGTGAGGCAGGCTTCAACCCTTCCCTACCTATCAGGACCAAATCGGGCTGAGATGGTAACAAGATCCCAGCAAAAACACCAAGATACTGGTCCTCGATAAAACATGAGAACTGATCTTGGGTTTCCAACATGCAGTAGCAAAGTGCCTAGCCAGTCCACCACAGAAACCGGTACATGTACATCATATGAGAACACAAACACAACAAAATTGGACTTCTGCCAAAGAACAAAACCAAAGAAAACCTTTCAGAGTTTACAGTAGCTTTTAATGCTTCAGCTTAAAGAAGGCTGCTGTTTACATTGAGGCTTGGCAAGAAAAAAAAAAAAGAAGAAAAAAAGTAGATGTATATACAGGAGGAGGAACAAATGATAATTATTCCTTTATCCAGTGGGAAAGCAGTGAGCCAGTAAACACTGCCAACCAAATTAGTCTCCAGGATGTGTGTGGCTGATCCTGGTGGTGTTTCTTGACGGAGAAAATCCACAAGTCCAAATTAAACAAGATTAGTAACTAAGATTTCACACCAGAGTAGAACCATGCTTCCCAATGAACCAGAAAAAAATCAAAAGCCCTTTGCACTGTTAACCATCATTATACTGAGAGGATCCACGGTGATGAGCCCATCACAAAATCACTACAGCAGCACATGAAGTACTCGCCCACTGCAAGCCTGTGACCTACTACTTCTGTGTTGTCAATGTCGAGACCTTGGCCACTTGTACCAAAACACACACTGCCCCAAGCTACTTCTGGTTGTGGTATCAGACAAACACTGGGCATTTCTTCAGCGCTAAATACCAAGTAGCATGTTCATTATTCTGCCAGAGTTCTGACAAAAATGTTTAGAAGCTTGACTTCAGCTGTGTTGAGACAAACAACTTGACATATACCACCTCACAATATGAAGTTTGGACACTAATGTGGGGGGGGGGGTTAGAAAAAACAATACAAAGGACATTACACATGAGAAAAACGTGTGGAGAAAATGACAAAGCAACATGAACATATCAAGCATCAGTGATGAGACACAGACACTTCCCAATCCCCCCCCTTTTTTTTAAACACTTGTGTTCAGCCCCAGTAATGAACATTCATATGAAATGCAAAAATTTTGCTCCACTCAAGATTTACAAATGATAAAACATTATCTTTCCGTTCCCAAAGTTGCAAAACAAGTTCTGATGGTTCAAAAATTGTTGTGCAACAACATCACACTTCCAAATTGTTCCCCAAACCATGTCTATCAAGAGCAGGACCTGTCTTCTTAGTTTGGAGCCACCTCAACAAGCAGCAGGTCATCAAACGTAATGAAAATGTGACCAAAAGGAGCAGAGCTGACGATTTTACTGGCTGGTTAAAAGATTAAGATAATTGTTTTTCTATGACAAAAAAAGACCTACAGACTATCATGTCTCCATTTTTAACGCATTCCTTCCTTTCGACCCCTTTATTAGCAATGTCAATGAAAAATTAAATTTTCATCCAAATTGCTGAAAAATAGGCTTAAGTGAAAATAGAGTAAATTCTAAGAACTAAGGTTTTTAAATTTTAAAAATCCATTGATAAATAAAAAAGTTATTGGGATTTTTGTTTGCAAAATTTTGGGGGACCTCCATATAGGAAAATATCGCCAAAATGTGGGACATGTCTTGATGTATTTTGAGGAAAAACTGTTCAAAAGTCAGTAATGAATTGGAGTATATGAATAAAACTTTGAATCTTCATGTGATTTTTAGTGCAGAATCTAGTTCTGCTATCACTTTTTCGATGTCTTTATTACTTTGGATCTTACAGACATATATGCGTGAAATTTGTTGAATTGCGTGACATCGTTTTTACCGCGACGCGATCACCCCTTCTAAAACTCACTGTAAACTCAGTAAAGCGGTATCGGAAAATCCCGCAATGAAGTCATCGGTGACCTATTTAGTTATAGGCAGCCAATCACATGTCGCCTAGCGATCACGTGCCTCTTGCATGCCGGCACCTCGCCTTTGGAATGCATGATCTAGTTTCCAGCTCTAGTGTTTTATCAATGCATGGGTGGTCCTTTTAAGTTGGTATGTAAAATGTACTAAATGCAGAGATCTGAAATTTTACAGCAATAAAGAAGACATGTGGGGCGCCTCTGTGGTCCGCTTAGTTTTCGAACCGCAGAGGAAATTCGCACAAACACTGCAATTTCTCCGGTTCTAGAAATCGTCCGGATTGTACGCTAGCAGGTCGTAAGTTTAACCTTTCCTCTGATTGGTTGCAGAGTTTCATTTATTTTCGCCAACGAGTTTTCCCGTAACTATACTTAGAAGAGAGTCACTTCTGAATCCGAGTGGCCCAAAAATTACCCCTCGCGCGGAGGCCGATTTCTGGCCCACGGCGCAGCGGGCAATTGGCATTGCTACCTTTGTTCATATGTTGGAAGAGAAGGAGGGGGAGGGGGGGGGGAGAACCCTTTCACTGTGACCATTCCTTATGCATGAATTTCAACAAATACTGTAGTGACTGAAAAATATTTGAAACAGGAGTAACTTATAGGCCTACTTATACACCTTTAAGAATTTTCCCTGTCAAAGCAAAAGTATCCCAACAATTCCAATTACTTTCCATCTGAAGTCTCAAGCACAGGTTGAGAAACACAAGAGTGGGCTTGCCTTTCAAAATTTATCAAAAGTAATCCCAACCAAAAAATGTGGAAGAAAATCTCTAATCAGCATACCCACGTGGTAAAACTAGAAGAACCTTACAACAAAACAAAACAGGGCTGCCTCGAAAGTAAGAACTGTACGACCATGAAGGAAAAAGGGTCATAAGTGGAACGATAATGTGCGCAGTATGTTGTGAAACCCGCTGGTCAAAGACTTAGTGGACGAACACACTAGAAATACTTTTCATTAGAATTTCCAGTTTAAAGAGGCCAGTCTTTTCAAAATACAATTGAGCAAATTAAAAAGTTGTGAATGTAGATGGTTTTTAAAAAATCTCTCAGCTGTATCTTCCAATGAAAAGACAAACATGTTGCGGTAGGAAGACGGCCCAGTGACAACACTTATCAACAAACACTACAGCCTGTGCATGAATCAACAATATGAATATGGCCTAACCACGCAATGTCTGAAAGGGATATTGAACCACAGACACGTATTGAAACATAAACCACAACCTGTAAGTGTAAAAATAAAATATGCCAGCTTCCCTTCACTCTCCTCTTTCACCTAAATGTCTGTGTCTCTTTCAAATAAGCAATGAGATGAAACAATATTCTTTTAAAATCAAAGATGCAATAACATATACGCTGAAACGACAGTCTTATAATGGAATGCAAATACAACTGATGAAACTGCAATAATAAAGTACAACATCAAAACAAAGTTGAAACCCAGACATGAGCTATTTGTCAAAGATGAAAGCAGATAAACTTGAAAGAGAACAACTCCATAAGAGGTTTTACGCTTGCACAGAGAAGCAAAACAACAAAAAACACAAACTTTGATACCTATCACACCCTTGTCCATGAGTAAAATCAAAATGACCAATAAAAATAAATAACAATAAACCCTACTTGGTGGCTCCTCAATCAACTTTATATACCTGACCTCAAAGATGAAAACTTGGAAAAGCGACTCAACATTATTATGCATCATACAACATCAATGTCCCCCGACAACTATAGCTATAGATGTTCAGTGCCCCTACATGTCCAACATGGCACCTACATATGGTGTTGCCCCCAGTAACCTTGAGCTACACGCAAACTTACTTCTTGTTACTTCTACTCTATTGAAATCAACTCGGCTTTAAAAGATTTTATTCCCAATATGGCACACACCTCCTGCTCAAACTTTGAAAAGCCCGCGTCCCTGAAATAGTGACGAGAGGAAACATGCTAGGTGTAGGACTCTGGTAAAAGATAAGTATGGAGACAACCCCAATTATCACTGTTCTACGTGACTGGGTAACATTTATCCCGTAACAAAGATAATAGTCTTTTTTTCTTGCCCCCTCCCCCAGTCATGTCATCTCAGAAAACCATAAAGTTCATTTCACAGGAGCAGCTCCGTCATCTAAATGCCGTCAATATCAATATCATCATCCTCTTCTTCCTCAGCCTTGTGGCTCCCATTGACAGCAGCAGGGGAAGCCTGCTTGACTGGCTCCACTGTGACATCACCAACTTTTTGTGTGTTGGAGTAGATGATCTGAGGATAAAGTGTTGAGACTCAAATTACCCAGAATGAAAGTAAAAACTTCAATTAAAAGTATTTAGTAGTAATCAATTGCCCCCCCCCCCCCCCCCCCCGGAGTGATATAAAATTGCACTCAACATGAACACTAAAGTTCAGTTTTGTTTTATGTATCTTTTATGTTTATCTATAGGTGATTTTCACTTTATTTCAGTCACAACATTCATTTCTAGTCTGAACCATTCACTATTCACAAACTTTCCTAAAATTGTAAGCATAAAAGTTCATTTTTCTAACAATAGACTAGACTAAGAATGGGCAGAGTGACAAGTAGAAGTACAAGCAGTACTTAACAGCAACAGCTAGTATCAAAATATTCGCCACAGAAGGCATCCAATTTATCATTCATATTTCGAAGAATCTGGTTTCACGAGGATTAGGATTTTCCACAGTAATGCCTTCTGGAATGAGCCCAACAAAACAATGCTCACTCAACTATTCATCTAGGTCTTCAATACAAACGTTATAGCAAGAATGGAAAGCATGTTGGCTTTTCAAACAGTTTCCTATTTTGCACATCACTGAACAAAAATCTCCAATGAAATTAAGACTGCCAACACGCCCCTTTAAAAAGAAAAAAGGTGTATTTACCTCATCTTCTTCATCATCCTCCTCATCTTCAGACTCCTCTTCGGCCTCTCCCAGCCATTTAATGAATGGCTGAGCTTCCTTGAGAACCTTAGCGCTTTCTTCCTTGCTCACGTACTTCTTGGTTGGCTGTTGACGAGTGAGCAATGACTGTTAGTGCCAGTACATGTTCACCATGGGAAAAATAGGGGCAGAAAGCACCACTCACTACAATCACCACATTAATAACCACAACCGACATCCCCCCCCCCGAATGCTCTGGGTGGTTGGTGGGTGCTCTGGTGTGATTAGCTTCTTCTTTCCCATCGAACATCTATCGTCTTTATTTACTCTCCTTTTTTGAGTTTGTTACTCTCCTGTATCACCTCTAATCTTCGGCACCTGTATGACCATACTATGTTGCAAGTGCTGTGAAACTTTTATTTAACTCTTTTTTATCCTGGCCGTACCCCCACGGACTCTCTATCCGTCCTGGGGCGGCGGCACCATATGAGTTGGAATTCAGTGCGAGTGTTTCAAAGCGCTGTATTTCTTATATTTACTGGTACTCAAAGTTTTTAAGGAAATTTGGCAGTTATGTTAGAAATTGAATGCAGTTCTTGTAAATGTATGTGGTTAGGAATTACACCAATTGCACCATGTAGATTTTAAGGTGTATTCCACCCTCCATCTTGACCCTGGTTGCAGGCCCACGACGTCCTCTTGGATTTACAGATCCAGCCCTACCCATCGGTAATGCACGAATTCCAGTACTGACCACTTCACCATGATCTGAATTGCTATTAGATGAGTCTAATTCCTGTTAGTTATCATCCACAACAGAAATTATGATACTTGATTCAAAGTCACTTTCATCAAATTACCCCCCCCTCCCCCCAAATCCAGTGCCACTTCAAAAAGTGCTTCGTCCGTCAAGAACCTGTGTTTTCGAGACACCTTTCAAGATTCTACACCATTCAAAAACAAAGAAACCGCTGTTCATTGTGAAATTTAAATATTCAGACAAGCTGGCATCGCCGTATTTGCGCATTTTCGTAATTACAAGCAGAACTAGCTGTTTGACTTGACCGTATAGTTGTTCCGAGTTGACTCGTAGCCCGGACTGGTCCTCCTCGTTACTAGTATACTCGTAGCCGGGATAAAAAGAGTTAAAAATAAGGTGCACACAAGTTCTGGGCACTGAAATTTGTAGCAATGACACTACAACAGTATTCATAACAATGGAGCTATAATTTTGACAAATGTCCCTTTTCTTTATCAGAGCTTCCAACAGCTGATGTCATTTTTAGAGGATTTTCGGGTCCAGGGCAGCACCCTGGCAGGGGGTTGAAGGGGGACGGCGCCCCCCCTTACGTTTGAGATCTTTTGGTTTCACGGCATCCTAAGTGTGTCATTTCTGGCTATTTGAATAAATTTAACAAGAAAATAAGAGAAAAAAAAAAACATACTTTGCATACACAATTTTCTATTGTGTTAATCCATATAAATCCAAAGCCATGCATTCTCCCTTGTACAGATACTGTACATCCACAAACAATAGTATAACAGCTAGATTTATAAAACTTGTGATAATCCATATAAATCCAAAGCCATGCTTTCTCCCTTGTACAGATACTGTACATCCACAACAGTAGTATAACAGCTAGATTATAAAACTTAACAGTTTATGTTCATCTTTTTTTTTTTGCAAGTGTTGGTTTGCACCATATAATGTGTAGAATCCTTATTATAATAGTATAACAGCTAGAATCTAGATCTAAATAGCTTGACAGCTTATATTCAACTTAAATCCACAACAATAAGTACAAATAAACAAGTCTGATGAAAAATCAAGCTGTCTTCAGAGTTTTCTTTTCTTGGCAGGCCCAAGATCTATTGAACCACAATCGTCATGTCTTCCTTTTGTTTACAGTGCTGGTGCTCTGCTTGTGCTTTAGAAAGTGAAAGTAAAAGACACTGTTTACACTTTCAAATAAAAGAGCATTTCCGGTATGGGTTGGCTATTGTTGACTATTAGTAATTACCGAAATTTTTTATTTCGCATTTTAAAAAATAATGGTTTAAAATTATTTTTTTGGGGGGCACGTATTTTCACGAAATTTTTCCATTTGCGGAATTCTGCTAATTTACCGAAATCCGCAAAATTGCGGAAGACTGGAAGCTCTGCTTTATTGAACACTAATTTCCTAACAAAACCCCACAATCTGCAATAAAGGCTGGAAACCCCTCCTCAAATTCCCAACTGATTCTTACCTTTTTGCCCCATTCCAGAATGAGAGCCTCTTCCACAATGTCTAAATCATAGAGCACTTTCAGAATGTGGCTGGTTTTAGGCAGCAGAACTTCTGGATACTCCTTGGCAATCAGAAACTCGATGCCTCCAAGCACTGACTTCTGAGCTTTATGATTCTTGAGGCAGAACTGAAATCAAAATATGTACGTAAGATTCGGGAGTCAGTTGTAGTTTGAGTAAGAATTTTAGGGCACTTTAAACATATATGTCCCGAAGATTAGAGGTGTTACAAGCGAGTAACGAACACAAAAAAGGAGGAGAGATCAGAAGGAGCAAACCACACCAGAACACCCGCCAACCATCAACTTTCTGGAGTCAGAGAGCATACCTGTCAATAGTCATTACAGGAATTTAAGAGAGACAAATCATGACTGCTGCAAGAAATACATGCATCTTTGTTTGATCCTGCTTAGCAGGACGAGTTGCACATAGTAGTGTTTAAAAAAGGAATCTCTCATTTTTCTTGCAACAAAGGCAAATCCACCATCCTCCTATAAAAAAAGAAAACCATCAAGACTTAAAACCCAGTATGTTCCGCATCTAAACTAAGCGAAGATAAAATGCTGCTCTAGTTCTTTTCCAACTAATCAATTCAACATGTTACTTGAAGGAGGAGAAAGAAAAAAAATGAATATCAGGAAATCGTGAGGAGGAAATCCAACTTTTACATATTGACTATTCACTCATCACTTAATTGTTCGATTTGAACCTTAACAATTTTTCCATTACTAGCAAAGCCAAAAAGAGGCAGACTTCCCCGAGCATGGAACTGACAAGACAACAAAATTGCAATCTAGAAAACTGAAGCATGAAATAATTCAAGTCTTCTTACAGACACAAGTACACATGATTGTTCACAGGCAACTGCAAAAACAGAAATCAAGATTGAAGATTAGATTACAAAATTCCATGAACTATTGAAATTACTACACATGCTTTCATAATTATGCTAAAAGAAACAATGTAATTTAAAATCTTTCCACAAAATCATGTAAGACTGTAAAAACCTTAGCAGAACCTCAAAAGTTTGGAAAGTGTTTAAGTCCCATTTCATGAATGTAGACACTATAATCCTGTGCCGACTTTTGAGTGAGGGTAAACCCGATGCTTTGGCCATAACCTAAGCACTCACCTGCAAGAACAAATTCTTGTATTTCTGAAGTTGTTGAAGAACTTTTTCGTTGAGAAGCAGCTCTACTAAGATGATAGGAACCTTGTCCTTCACCTCAAGCCTTTCAGATTCAGAAAAGACTTCCTTGATAGCATTGGGTTTTCCAAGATCATCTCCATCTTTTTTCAGCTGCAAACAGAAAAAAATATATATTAATAAATAAATTTTAAAAAACAACAGAAGTGTATATGAGAAGAGGTAACTTGATATCACCATTGCCTTTCTCACCCTGCACCGGGGTGTAGGCCACGGACAAACACCTTCCACCTTTCTCTATCCTGGGCTAGCCTCTTGATGTTATTCCATGTCTTCCCACTTTTCTGTACATCGATTTCTGTGATTCTTCTCCAGGTTCCGCGCGGTCTTCCGCTTGATCTCTTACCCTGTGGGTTCCAATCCAAAACTTAAACTTTGTTATGCAGTTGCCTGACTTCCTGATAGTATGTCCAATCCATCGCCACCGCCTTCTTCCTACCTCCTCTCTGACTGGGATCTGTCTTGTTTTCCTAAACACATTGGTGACCCTGTCTGTCCATCTGATCCTCAGTAACTTTCTTAGACACCTGTTCAACAAAACCTGGATCCTCTTTATGCAAGTCTGAGATGCGTTCCATGTCTCACATCCTTACAACAGGACCGACTTCACATTTGAATTGAAAATCCTCAGCTTCGTTCGAAGTGAGATATCTCTGGTCTTCCAAATCCTATCCAAAGATATGAAAGCAGCCTGTGCTTTTCCAATGCGGATACTTGTAGGTACAAAAGGAAATATGTTCATTTGACATTACCCATGCTCTGTAACACCACAAGAAAGACTTACAAATACTTTTTGTATGAAAGCACATTGTTAAATTAAAGCCACCCCCTCCCCCAAGAAATTTTAGGAGCAAAGTGCCAAGAAGGCCCAGCAAATACACAAAAATTCTCTGGTTTGCTGCCAAGTCTTTCAATTTTCTCCTTAGTTTAATTTTAGTAAGAATTTTACGGCACTTGCAACACAAGGTCATATAAGTGCCGAAGATTAGAAGTGTTACAAGAGAGTAACAAACAAAACAGAAGGAGGAGAGATCAGGACGATAGATGTCAGATAGGAAAGAAGGAGCAAACCACACCAGAGCACCCGCCAACCACCCACCGATTTTCTTCCTTTAAATCACTTCCTTTTGGTAAAATCAGAACAGATGGGAATAAAGCTGTCCTCCAACCATAATGAAAGACTTGTACAATGACCAATACGATAAGCAGTCAGTCATCTTACTTTTCAAGACAAGGATGAAGAAACCAGACTATACATTTTTGTCTAAGGACAACGCGCACAAAGCTCACCTTAAGCATTTCATAAACCATTTGAAGGCGGTCTTCAGTAGACTTTTCCAGATCATCCGTGAAAGCTAAACCCTTTGCAGCATCAGACAGTTCATCCATTCTCTGCTTGATAGCCTCCTCAGTGAAGTCATCACCCCAGTCCTCATCATCATCAGCCCCATCAGCCTTTTAGGGACAAAAAAAAAAAAAAGAATGACTTAGCAATGCAAAAGAAACAAACAAAAATGCTTAATATTAAGTAGAGAGAAGAAACAAGAATTTTCAGCATGCTAATTCAAATCTTTGAGGAACAAACAACCTGAAAGTCAGAACTTCACGATCAATCATAGAGCTCATGTAGGGGAATCCGAAATATTTCATCATTCCTTCAGGTAAACACATTCTCAGAAGACCTTTTTTTTCTAAATTGCTTTCCAAACATTTTTAATCAAACACAAAATTGAAGCAATACACAGAATGTTTTACCCCTTATTTCTTGTATAACGTGAGATGACAGGACTTAAAATTTTTCCTACTTGCAGCTCGTTGATGCAGCCTCGCTGGACCGAGAGCCACAAAATAGGTTCGGTTGGCTCGCTATCTATTCCAATCCAATAATGAAAAGACATGAAATTCGAGGCCGATACACTTTTTCGAAATAATAGAACAGACTTCCTCTTAGCTGATAAGAAAGAAAATATAGCACCGAAACGATTTTAAGTCATTTCAGCACTTTTTTCTGTCCCCTTTGAAACCTAAAAATGAAAAGAAAAGTGCTCCGCTCACTTCAGCATATGTCTCTTATTTTCACTTCTATAATATGTAAAAATACATAACTTTCAGCATTTCTTTGCAGTACTTGGCAACCTACTTGTGAAGTCTGAATGATGCTGTTGTAGTTTTTTTTAACATATGGCCTATGAAAGCTGGAAAATTGTCAATTTCACATGATACCTTCGATATTGCATAATCACTTTTAGAAACCCCAAACTAATATAGATCTAATTGGAATAAATCTTCAATATTGTATCACCATCTGATAGATTACTTTTTAACCTTCAGAAGCTTAATGGGCCATATATGGTTTGTATGTGTTTAGTTGGAAGTTTTAACATTTCCCTTTGGTGGGGTGAGGGCGTAAAAATAGGTCAGGGAAAAGCCCTGGGCCAGTGGTGGATTTTGGCTCAGTAGGAAAAGAGTTAACATACAAAGTACATCCTTATCCTGACAAAGAACGACGAGTGCAAAAACAAAAATGGTTTTCTTTTGTTTTTGTTTGAAAATCACAAATCAAAACTGTAAAATTAAATTACTGAATGACATGACCACAAAGTACTTTGCAATTATTTTGGAAAAAGCAATTTCTCTATACAAGTCTACTTTTTTGTTTAACAGAATTGTTTCAAAGAAAATACAATTCAAAACTTACAGATGGCAAATTCAGGCATTTTCCAGATTCCCTCATGGCGGCCATCTGTTCCTGAGCAGTGCTGGGAGTGCTTTCTGGACTTGCTCTATCCTTCTCCGAGTTCTCTTCTTCTTTCTTTGCACCCTTCTCCTTCTTTCCTTTCTTGCCTTTGCTTGGGGTCATAGCATTGGGATCCTTTAAATATCATGGGAAGAAAAAAATACCATTGGTTTAAAACAACTCGTATGTTGTTCACAATAACATTCAATTTTTAGAAATATCCCTGAAAAAACTAGTAATATTCGAAGTTCATTCACTCGTCCTTCACCCCCCCCACCATATATTGAACTTCAAAATTTCACTACCAACATTTATTTTTTTACACCACCAGCATCCCCAAGTTTGCAGGACTAAGCTCCCTTCTAATCAAATGACTCATAAACCAGTACAAAACACCATTTTCCTACTTTTAACACATTACACCCTAACTCGCCTGGAACCGCCCGCGCCGACCCAGCATCTTAAGAAACGAAGTCTCGCCTTAACGAGACTCTGGGGTCGAGATTTTGATTTGCATAGTCATAGCAAACAGTTTCTTCTTTCGTTTGATACCAAAACGAAATTTTTCGGGCCAGTAGTTTTAGTATTAGAGCTGAACGAAGTGCGATCGCGTTACCGACACTTCGAAAGTGTCTCGACTTGTTGAAAAGCGACACAATTGAGTTCGAAAACGGAAATAACGATGGATTTGAGCAAAAACAAGCATGTGACAAATCAGATGGCTCAGATTTTGATGAAAACGTTGTAGCAAGAGTTTGGGGCGATTCAGATTGATCAGACGTAGTAGTCTAGATGTTAGATCTAGGGCCGGACCACGAGGCTGAGAGTGAGAGTGACGGGTCGGACACCCGATTGAACTAAAGTTAGAACATTTCCAACAATTTGCGCATAAAGTTATATTTTTCTGAAACTATATTCAAGTTTTCTTTTTAACTTATTTTTTCAGGACTTTTGGAATTTGTTTAGTATTTTTTAAATGTGTTTTTTAAACGCTTGTATTCACGAGAGGTGGGTTCCTTCCCCTTGCTTAGGATCTAGGAATGGACTTCCCGTCCAGGCCCTTAGGGTGTAATGTGTTAACACATCCATTTTCACAAGCTGAAGGACGGAATAAAAATACATTTTTGACAACTTCTCCATGTTGTTGCTGAGCTTTACTTCATTGGAATTTTTCAATTAATTTTATATTTATCCAGTTTAGCCACAGCCGTAATTTTGAATAAAGGGAAGGCTCAACATCCTGAAGGTCAGAACTTCATCATCAATCATAGAGTTCATGTAGGGGAATCCGAAATATTTCATCATTCCTTCAGGTAAAATACATATTTACTGCACCCTATCCATAATATAACCACAGGAAGGAGATTAAATCCATGGTCTATCAACAGGTAACAATGGGCTGCTGAACTAGCCAGGGATCAAGCAAGTTTAGTCAATAATGCAAAACGGTTCACTTCTCTACTGCAGGTGGTTGGTCCTACTTTTCTTTCCCTCTATTGTTTCTGTCCGTCTTGCTTATTCCCTACATTATAACCAACATTGTGTTGATGTGCTTCTCTTTACTCAAACCAAAGACACCCTCAAGGTGTACCCTCAATCTCATATAGCACGATAGATTTTCTTTTAGCACCCTTCACCCCACCCCCGGCCATATATTGAACTTCAAAATTTCACTACCAACAACACAATATTTTAACACCACCAGCATCCCCAAGTCTGCAAGATTAAGCTCCCTTCTACTCAAATGACTCATAAACCAGTACAAAACACCACTTTCCTACTTTTAACACATCCATTTTTACAAGCCCAAGGACAACTACAGTTGACAGAATAAAAATACATTTTTGACAACTTCTCCATGCTGCTGCTGAGCTTTACTTCATTGGAATTTTTCTATTAATTTTATATTTATCCAGTCTTGCCACAGCCGTAATTTTGAATAAAGGGAAGGCTCAACATCCTGAAGGTCAGAACTTCATCATCAATCATAGAGTTCATGTAGGGGAATCCGAAATATTTCATCATTCCTTCAGGTAAAATACATATTTACTGCACCCTATCCATAATATAACCACAGGAAGGAGATTAAATCCATGGTCTATCAACAGGTAACAATGGGCTGCTGAACTAGCCAGGGATCAAGCAAGTTTAGTCAATAATGCAAAACGGTTCACTTCTCTACTGCAGGTGGTTGGTCCTACTTTTCTTTCCCTCTATTGTTTCTGTCCGTCTTGCTTATTCCCTACATTATAACCAACATTGTGTTGATGTGCTTCTCTTTACTCAAACCAAAGACACCCTCAAGGTGTACCCTCAATCTCATATAGCACGATAGATTTTCTTTTAGCACCCTTCACCCCACCCCCGGCCATATATTGAACTTCAAAATTTCACTACCAACAACACAATATTTTAACACCACCAGCATCCCCAAGTCTGCAAGATTAAGCTCCCTTCTACTCAAATGACTCATAAACCAGTACAAAACACCACTTTCCTACTTTTAACACATCCATTTTTACAAGCCCAAGGACAACTACAGTTGACAGAATAAAAATACATTTTTGACAACTTCTCCATGCTGCTGCTGAGCTTTACTTCATTGGAATTTTTCTATTAATTTTATATTTATCCAGTCTTGCCACAGCCGTAATTTTGAATAAAGGGAAGGCTCAACATCCTGAAGGTCAGAACTTCATCATCAATCATAGAGTTCATGTAGGGGAATCCGAAATATTTCATCATTCCTTCAGGCAAAATACATATTTACTGTACCCTATCCATAACATAACCACAGGAGATTAAATCCATAGTCTATCAAGAGGTAACAATGAGCTGCTGAACTGGCCAGGGCAAGCAAGTCTAGTCAATACTGCGAAACGGTTCACTTCTCTACTGCAGGTGGTTGTAAGGCACCACTCGTTGGTCTTATTTTTCTTTCCCTCTATAGTTTCTGTCCGTCTAGATAGCTGCCCACCCCTCTCTGTAGTTATCAGGGACAGCCTTGCTCAAAATCAGGGACATTGACTAATTATCAGGAACACCTTGTATTTGTCAAGAAAAACTTGCTACCGTTTCAGTTTCTTTGCTTTATTTGGTCCAGGGTCGACTTACAACTCATCGCCGAATATTTCGACGCCATCTTTTCAAACGAATGAAAAAGCCGAGTGCCGTGCATGTATATCAGCTGACTTTTGTAGAAACTGCACACCTGCCAATTCTCCCGAATTTTTCGGAAATCTCCCAAATTTTCCTCATTTTCCCAAGCAACAGAAGGCTAATTTTTCTGTTTCAGAAGTATGCTTGCCAAGTTTTTATTTTCCGGGACCGTCGGTCAATATCCGTATTTCCAGGACAACAGCGATTTTTCAAGAAAATCCGTACAAAATACGGATGGCCCGTGACAGTGGGCAGTTATGCGTCTAGCTTATTCCCTACACTATAACCAACATTGTGTTGAAGTGCTTCTCTTTAACCAAACTCAAGCCCCCCCCGAGTTGGCAGCAACTATAGTTTATGAAGGATGTTTCTGGAAGCAATATGTCTTGAATACAAAGGGGGTGCAGCACAAAGATTTTCTAAAAGAACCTCTCAAAGAACTGAAACAATGCTTTCATCAGCACCAGTGGCGACATCTACACTTCTGTGCAGTGACTGCAAAGAACAATTTTATAGAGTGTACCATTTGGCAGTTTATAATCTTTGCCACCATTCACACAGAAAGGGTATGTATTTCAACAATGAAAATGAAAAAATGCGAAAACAAAAAGATTACCTGATCTGGTGGATTCTTCAAAATAAAAGTGGTCAGCTTATGCCTCATGTCAACAGAGCCATTGTATCCACAAGCAATGCAGCGCTGGGAAATAGTGCCACGTTTTCCAGAAACAACCTGAAATATTAAGGACAATTTGAAAAATGAACAGAATTTTTTTATGTGATATCTTAACCCATTGCCCCCCGCCATGGGTGAAAGCAATGACAGGTTAAAAAACCTGACATCCGAATTAGTAAAATGTCTACGCCTGAAAATTACACACGTCGTCAGATAAACACACACACTATTATGAAATACACACATTCCTTCAAGATACATTTACTTTCAATAAACGCATTAATTTGACAATAATCCATCCAATCGAGTCCTGGTTCTGCAAAACAGCAATGTGCTATTCCCGGATGTTAATTTTTTCACAGATGTATCTAACACTCCAAAGTGTCTTATCACAATCCCCAATGAGACACACAAAAGTGTTGTGTCACTTAACAGTACATATTTGTACTTTTTGAACTACAACTGTGGCTTCTTGCTAAATCAAGAGTTCAGCAATGGTTTATGGCACTTGTGAACACATTGTTTGGTGCTGTAGGTTGGGCTGTTGTAGTTGATGGTGAAATCAGCTGGACACAGAAATCTTTCGTTATGTACGAATTTCGCAAAGGACAAACTGTATGCTGCACCAAGGAAGATAAAGTTGGACAATCAGGTCGAAATTTACATGAATTATGCCCCCTAATGCAAAACTGGCGTGTGTGATGGATTCATGGCAATTTCATTTCTAAATTTTAATGCTGTAGTCCTCAGTCTTAACTGAAATAATTTGGCCTGACATAGTTCTAGATAAAGCTATAGCCTGAACCTTTTGAAACAAATGAAACACTGCTTGTTCCACTGCTATTTATCAGTTTATGCCTTTTCATCCCTGGTTCAGCACTGTTCTCAATATTTCCTGGTGGTTTTTTTCCTTCTTTAGTTCGGAATCGCAAACGTATTGCAGATTGGGTTTTTTTATGTTGATTTTACATCCACCTCTGCTAGGATCAGCCGTTTGTCCTCAACTGAGAAGCCTTTGTACGTTTCTTTTGCTCCGCTGTGGTTCACTCTCTACTCAATGGAAATGCGCAGCATAAATGCAGTTCACCATAATTTTTTAAATTCTTTTTTTAAACTGTCACACAATTTCAAGAAAAGCAACAAGTCTCAAACTGGGCAGATTTCATAATAATAATAGACTGAAGGTCAGCAAATGGATGTTCAATCATTGGATTTCATGTAGGGGAATCCGAATATACTTTTCATCACTCCTTCAGTACAATTCAACAATTGAAGTCTTTAACACAGCCACAACATACCAAGTTAGTTTCTGGGTTAGAGCACCCCGGGCAGAGGACAAATTTCTTGATGAACCCATCCAATAGAGTTTGCAGCTTCTCATCGGTATGTGAGCCGTTTACTATGTAGCGGTCATTTTTTGAGTCAAATTGGGTTTGAGCTCCCAATTCACAGCCAAAAAACTTGGTAGGATCTGGAAAGAATACAAAAATTATGAATTCACACTTTACTGCTTTTACAAACCTTCCTATTTATAACTAACACCATTAAAACATGCCATACAGCCGCCACATAATGCTGTTCTATAAATACATGCATCTCAGAAATTTGAATCACCATGATCAGTAGAAATTTACTCATAACATGGCATTAACACCTAAAAGCATCAATAGTTTACTCCCTTGGAATGCAACAAAATCCTAGAAACTGTAATGACAGTGCCAAAATGAAGATTTCCGTTTCTCCTTACAAGGCTCTTATCAAACTTAGAATTGTGATCTCAAGGTATCTTTCTTCTAAACAAAGAGACATAACTCTCTAAATTACAAACAACATCACCAGAGTATCAAGGTCAAATAAACTATATCATTGTCATTGGGCACATATCACACACCTACATTTGCGAAACAGTTGACCCTGAACCTTCCCCATGACCAAAAAAAACCCAACAACTTACAGGTAGGCGGCCTGGACAATGCTTTAGCCACTTCTGTCATGTTGACAATCACAGTTTTGATTCCATTCCCTTTTCCTTCCACCTGTAAAACAAAACCAATTTTGGATTAAAATTCCATGTCGTACAAAACAGTTCAATGCTAGTAAAGTGGTCTCAGGTTAATAACAGCATGTGCCTGGGTGACAAGAAAAGTGTGCTCTTTTGAAAATGTGATATGAACCCCTTCCATGCCATCATGCCAGGGGGTGCATGTTCATACTGTCAATAATGATTTTCAGCTACTCATTAGTTAGGACAACAATCTGAGGTCTCAGAGTTAGTGAATTTGCTTTGCTGTCTAGATTTAGCCTACTCATGACATATAATATTCAAACCCATGGTCTTTGTTAATATCGCTTTCCTCGGTCCTTATCTTTAAAAAATGGTACACAACATTTAAGTATTAGTTTATTTAAGAGGCAGGACCTCCAAATTTAACGTCCATACCCAAAAGAAAAAAGACAAATGGAAAAATTTGTAAGGTGCCTATCCCAGGGACACAAAGACTGAGCTGAGGCACTAAACCCCCAATCCGCAATCTCAGGGTCTGTAGCCTAACCACTAGGCTACCAACGCCACTGTTCCCTATCTTGCCCGTTACTTCAAATTCTTATAGATCTAAGAAAGAAATTTTAAATATGTTGCATTTTGTAAGTCACTTAGATTTTTAAGTTTGGTAAGACCTGTATTTATTATTATATTAATCAACTGCAAGCCAGGCAGTGAACTGGTACTAGCAGCTTCAGACACCCATGTGCATATTGACCAAATACAAATTCATGCTGTACCTGTGGTTCGAAGATTAAGAGCCAGATGACTGCCAGGATGTACATGTGTCATATAAGCAACCAGGAAGGGCAAATTTTGCTTACTTCCGTGACTTCCATGGTACGACACAAAGCTAAAAATTACAAATTTTAACAACACACTAGGTATGTCATGAGGCAGGAAAAGGGTTAAGTGAATTTCAATGGGAAGCAATCTACTAATCTGGAGTGAAACTACTTCACACCTTATCTACATTGGGTTGCGTCATTGAGTTAAGCTCACCCCAAGGTATGAAGTTTTGCTGTGCTAAGTGATCAGAGACAACAACCATCAGAATAACAACACTGCACTCCCACATTGGCTTTCCTCAATGTGTAATTCTGCATCACACTTTGTCCTAATGTCTTTCTCCCTGACAAAGCTGCATTTTCATGTAATAAAGGAGGGCATGTATGCTTCCACCAGTTCCCAACAAGAAGAGTCATTTTATAACAGATGTATTTCCCAAACTTGCCAAGAAACGATTGTGCTCTTAGAAGGAGTTGTCGATTTGGAACAGGCACTTACAAGTGATAATTAAACAAGAAAATTTAGGCTTCGCCTTTCCAGTATGCTTTAAAGCAGCTCATTTTTTTTATCTGGTGCGCTATTAACTGGAGACGGATAAAGAAAAGAGACCAAATTCTTTATTGGCCGAAGGTCAGAAAACAACATTCAATCATTAGATTTCATGTAGGGGAATCCGAAAAATAATTTCATCATTCCTCCAGACCAAAGAAGCATCAGAGAGAAGCAAGCCACGTTGGCCATAAGATCAAGCTGATGCTAATAACTTCTAAATGAAAGATGATCTCCTTAAGAAAAGCTTCCCGTTCAATCTGATTGCTCACTGTTTGGTTGAAACTTGTTCCCAAAGCAATATATATATATCAAAGTAAACCTTGGAATATTTTAGTAACCTCATTCAAATAAACAAGCAAATTACATTATATAAAATTATACAAAAAGATGATTCCTTACCTTAGCTATGAGCCGAGGCATCTTATAGCGGTAGAATGGGTCCAGGTTGCTTCTGTCAATATTGAGAGCCATGGCTTTTCAAAGTTTATGTGAATTGGTTTGCGCTTTCTGTGAATACTGCTGTCTATTTTACTCAGATGTTTCTGGGGGACTGTGAACTTCATAAACGCTTTTGAAGCGGAGACGCCTCTAAGTGCAAATAACTTTGCCTCAATGATTTCTGAGGGCCACACCAAGGGCTCTGCAACAGAGAAGAAAAAAAGATACTAAAATCATTCATATGCTGAAACTGACATAGCATTCATAAACCTAAGCCAAATATTTGAGAAATAAAAGGATGAACCAGTTGCTTACCGCCTTTTCTTTAAATGCCTCAACAGGAAGAAGAAAAAAATATAAAAAGAAAAAAATGTTTCACTACTCCCTTTCAATTACATACATTATTCCAGAAAATTGTTTTTGTTTTTTAGAATCATAACAGATTTAATATGCATACTGACTCCAAGTATAACACACCTTTTTTACACCCAACTCACTAAAAGCTTATTGGGTACAATATCAATCCAAAGCAGTGTAGTGCAAACTCATTTACAAAATGTCAGTCACAATCTTTCAAACTTTCACCATTAATCTTAATTATCCACGGAAGAAAGACAGAACAGCTCTACAGCACATGAAACTATTCAACACTATTAACCAGCAATTGTTTCACAAAAAAATCTTTCCACAGTGTCTATTTCAGTGTGGTACATTGGGTGTCGCATTCAACGAGAAGTTGGCTCGAACGAGGCAATCCATAATCCCTGATTTTTTCCTTTATATCTCTTTGTAAATGTACATTCAATGTCAACGAGAAGTTGGCTCCATCGAGGCAATCCATAATCCTTGATTTTTTCCTTTATATCTTTTTGTAAATGTACATCAGCTCCAACAAGGTTGCAAACAGACCAAAGTCGCTTTCTCAACGAGGTCGCGATAACCAAATAAAAGCAATTAGCAGCCCAAAAAGCGAAAAAAAATTTCTCCTTTCTCTCCATCTCACGCGAAGCACAAGGCCCATCCTCGATTCGTAACACATTGTATTGCGAGATCTAGTGTGCCTCCTGGGAGTCCCAATATGGGCCCCAAAGCCAAGAGGATGGGCGATGGTTAGCCTACGGTAGGGATGGGAGGGGGTGGGTGCAAACGCGATGCGAGCTGTGTGAAACTGGATGAACTCTGGATGGGTAGGTCTAGATCGAGACCATTTTTTTTTCTTCAATTTTCTTTTCTTCCTCTGATCAGAAAATTCAAGCTCCCGCCTTTACTTTAAGTAGACCTAGGCCTAGATGTGAGAGGGTATGTTTCCACACTAGAAATGTTACAGAAAAACAAAATGCAGAAATGCAGAAATGACGGTCAGAACACAGCTCAAACATGCGCACACTGATGCTGTTTGAGATTTCCGTCATCAGGGGAACAACTGTTTTAATTACTGGTATTGGTACATCGTGTAATATAAAAACTTGTCTTTTGTTGAATGCGACACCCACTGTACTTGTAATTTCCCTATCTGTTTCATTAAATCATGTTACAACATCAGCCTCAAGTGAATCTTTTAAAGTTAAAACATGCTTCAGCCCTTGTTTCCCCAAGAAAAATGATTTTCTAATTATAACTGAAGGTCAGAAATGGAAATACAATCATGTCAATATCATGTAGGGGAATCCGTCATTAATTTCATCATGCCTTCAGTATGCTAGTATGTACAAGATGTAATCAATCTGTTTCATTTTGATGTGTGTGAAATAAAGTCAATATGAACAAGCGATGGGGCTAGGGGGCAAATTCTAGATATTTCATGTGGCAACCAAAATCCACAGCATTAATTAACAACCCTCCAATAACTGCATAGGGTGACAGAAGCATATTGGGATACATTTTAAGCATTTTCAGTTTCGTAGGGATTAATTTGGAATTTTGCCCGGGTGCAGCTGAAGCTTTTATCGATTTTAGGACCACCAAGGGATCTTTATCTCTTTCAGGACATATCGCCGATATATCGGTGTGAGTCCACACATTTTGCGGGCGATATATTGACTGTGATTGGGTGCCTCAATACGGTTTCCTTTTAACATGATCCGTCATTCATAATTACTTTTTATTGTTATTGAAAGCTTGGAATGGATTTAGGAAACAAAAACATCTAGTTTCACTTTGTCAAAGCGTGGGTTTGGGGAAAAATGAATCAATTCCTTCTTGTGGTCTTGCATCAAAATGATGTAACCGTACTCAGTGTAAATATATCATAATTCGAACAAAAATTCAAATTACTTTCAAATAAAAAGCGGCGCATTCAGAAATTTATGGATTATGCTCTTGGCCTGTATATAATAAGATAGCTATGCTGATTTGCTTTCACATGTTTGGTGAATTATTTTTTCACTATTAATGACACTATTTCTCCGAACGTTAGGGAAAATAAAGTTGAACTCTATTTTTCCAAACGGTTTCCGATCTTGAGATTTTTTGGGTATTTGCAAGATTTAGGCGTCATCCTTTCATTCTGAGAGGACTGGGAAGAAGCATTTTTTGCATCGAATTCAATTTCTAGAGCTAGAGATTTTTAAATGTCTGAATATTCAGATACTTCAGTTGTGGTTGGGGCAACGTTCCCAGACTATATTTCATTTGAAAATACCTTCAAAACGTACTACGAGAAAACAAGACTGCTTGACCTTGGCAGTAACCTATTTGCATTTAGTCACCCAGCAAAACTAAAATCCTTCAAGTTAAACCTTATTATTACAAATCTCGAGAACGGAAACCATAGGGAGAAATAGAGTGCAAGTTTATTTTCCCGAATGTTCGGAGAAATAGAGCCGGCCAAACAAGTAAGGAAAATTTTGCAGGGGGCCCCCAGCAGGGTCCAGGGACAGCCCCCCGAAGAAATTGAATTTTAGTGCTTTTAGAGGGTTGAAAACGGCATTTGGGAGCCAGTTTGAAGAGATTGCCTAAAACCAACATTTATTTTTTCACCAACATTTTGTCTTGCTTGATTTCTTCACCTACATATCTTTCCACTGCTGGCAATGTTTAAAAGCAGGTTCCCCTTTCATTGCTACTATAGTTCACTTAATTTGTCGTCGCACCATTGATAGAAGGTAAACCTGGGAATAATTAATAGATATTACCCTCACAATACAGTTGCCTAGCGTATACTCTAATTTTTCCTCAATTTTCACGTCTGAATGTCGCATGTCACAACCTCGGAACACCACTTCAAATTATTCTTGATTTTAGCAGTCTTTGCATGTAGATCTATTTCTTCGGCCCTTATACTAGAAATGCCAAAGAAAATTTAATTTTTCGCTTTATCCCTTTTTTATTTGGTACAGGACCTAAGAAAAAATTTTCAATTCTAAGAATTGTGCTGCTTGAATTTTAAGAATCGGTTAATAAATAAAAAGGTTATTGGGTTGTAAAGGTTGGCAAAATATGAATGATCCACATAGGAAAATACTCCTAAACAGTGGACCACGCAGTAGCAGATTCTGTAAGATAATCAACGATATCTCGGTAATTAATTGGAATGTTAGAGAGAAACTTGGCTACCCGATGTGTCTCTGGGTGAAGAAATCATTTCTGCCGTCAGATTAACTAACCATTTCGTAGTTGTTTTATTATAATTAAAATTTTGGTGTATATATTACGATTTTGCGAAAAAGGTGTGTCGGGATGAGTCCATTTTATTGAATAGCATCGTATCACAACATGGGATCTTTAAGAATATGTTGGCAGCGTGACTAAATAATAACAAAGCTTTCTTTGATGACTTTACACCATGCCAACCTTAAAAGATAAGTTAATTCAATCTTGCATGCCGCAAAAATAAAATTATTTTTCCTCGTTGAGACGCGGACACTCCGAGGTGAGATAAGCTCGCCTCGGAATACCCCCATTGCGATGTTACAGGGGAAAAGAGAAAAACAACCAGATGCGCCCGCCCGCCATTGCCCTATTTCAAGTGACCAATGAACGGGCTTGGAATACTCAAGGGGGGATTTGTAGGTCACATACATTTGAAGCAACAGTGAGGGGAAAATGGCCGGCCTCCGCGCGAAGCCACTTTGGATAGGGGGACAGTCGTGCATTTATTATCGGGTCTAAACAACAACTGGACACAGAACGTTCAAATTCGAGCACACTATAGAGTATAGATAGATCTATTACCATCTCGGCTTTAAAATTCACCCGATACGAAAGTGCTCCCAACACCAAAAGTATAGGTTAATTTATGTGTACGAACTTCAACTTTCACATATCATTAGTTTGCCCTTTTTTCCTGATTGGTTGCCGAGTTTCGTTCACATTGGTTTAGAAATAGAGCAGCCGAGGTTGAAAAAGTTAGATACCCACGCTCCGATCCGGTCCAAAAATTCACCCGCAAACGGGGACCAAATTTTCGCCGAGCGGGAAAGCCCGATTGGCATTGCTACTTATATCGAACTCATGTGTCGTAGAACCTTTACATTGATAATTTCTCTAGCCCTAGACAAATTTGCAAAAAAAGTTTCTGACAGTTAATTTCTGTCTAAGATCACAAGTCAATTTACTTGATCAACGCGCAGATTTTCCAGCCAAGGCAACAATCCGAAGATAGACAGAAGGAATGAGTGAATGATAGAAAGGAAATCGTCACAAAAAGTTCACCAGATTTTGATCCATCTGCAGGTTAAAAAAAGTACTGCCGACAAACCCGCAATGAATGCATGGGGCATAGCGGAGTAAAGGCTGATTTCAGGGTGCGCAATCCGGTAAGTCTCTATAACATTAACTTGTTGCCCAGAGAATTAGAGTAAATATCCATAAACTTATACAAGATGATATAAATGCGAGTACGGATCTTTTGCTAAGGAATTTCCGCAGCCCTACATTGTCGCTGTTTTTTACGGAGGGACTTGATAATGATGGAGGAACCAGTACGGAACTGGCAGAAGGTACGGATTTCCGTAAAAATACGAAAGAGTGGAAGCACTGTTACATTCCCTACAATCATTGGTGTGGCTGAAAGACAGCAGTAAAAAAGAGCCAGAAGTAGCATTAGTCTGTCAGTAGAAAGGGGTCCTAAAAAGCAGATGATAGAACAAGATTAGAGAGCAGGAAAGAGGCGAAAGGATAAAATTATAGAGAAAAATATTCCCTCCCCGTCAAGTTTCAAAACGGAGACCTATTGAATGAGAGGCCAACAGTGTAGGCTCTAGATCACAAGAGCGCCCATGATAAAGAAATCGGTGAACTGACCAAACACCAGCAGAGTCAAAAAGACTATAATAGCCTGCCTATGCCTGCATTACTTTCAAGACCTCAAATCAAGTCAGTAAATTTTACAGCACTTAAGTTCCCTCACACATGCATGCGGATGCACTGCTTTTGAGGGCCAAATCTAGATCTAGTGTTCGGTGAAATAGCCAACTTCGTTTTTACACATCATATGAAAGTGAAAGAAGAAAAAAAAAGGGGGGGTAGTGGAAAGGCCTAATTTCCATACGTATGACAGATCTTGATCTAGAATAGAAATCTATCTAGATTCTAGATCTGCAAGAATGATTATGCTGAAGAAGTAAAATCTTCCCTAGGCCTAGAAGCCTTTGGGAACTTTGTGACCTTTGCCTTTAGCCTCAGCCTCATCTAGAATCTAGCAGAATAGTAACTTACTCTGTAATGAAAACAGAATCAAAACGCCTGTTCTGTACTGCTTATTAACCAAATGGCAAAATGTGAGCTAGCATTTGAACAACAGAAAAAAAATCACATAAAAGCCATAGGCCCTACCTTCTTTTCAATGTTATGTCAAAGTCAAAGAGAGTCAACCACATGTGGCAATACCAGGACAGAAAATGGCGGAAAAAGGCTTGTCAGGGCACCACAGCCCCACAATAAATATACGTGTTCTACACTTGGCAACATCTGCATAAACTTACATTCACTACGTTATGGAAAACTAAATATTGTAAGTTCAAAGTGTGGACATTACTTGAGAAAATATATTACCGTTTTGACACAATAAAGTCATAAAAATGCTGTCTGGATCAGCGGTTCTCGGCAAAGTGATGGCGGCTGGCCAAGGGAGCGAGCCTTCAGGGATTGCGTCAACGTCGCTTGGAGGAAGTGTAAGGACACTAATCCTGGAAAACAAGTAACAAAACCAAAATAACGTGAGTAAATATCAAAAGGTTACAACAATTTATAAGAGAAAACACATTAAACTACTGAACATATGGTTAAATATTACGAACCGCCTTCAAAGGCGCTCACCACTTACATTCAGTGTTGTAAAGTGAACTTGCCCGGATGTAAGCCTAGGGCCTTGGATCCGTGACGTTTTTCACTTCTGTGGACCTCGCCTAGAATGTTCCTACATCGCACTCATTCTCATATGGGCTAAAATGAATAACTGACAAGTTGCCTTCCTAGGTCCTAGGCCTAGGCCTATTTAGGCCCATTAGGCCTAGGCTATTAACAACCACCTTTCCATGTCGGAATTCAGCGCACTCACAAGTTGGTATCATGTGTATCTCTTCAAACACATGGAAAAGGGGTATATGGAGGAAGGAGGTGATATCAATATAGGAAGTGAAAACTAGAACAAACAAAAAAGACCAATGCCGATAATATAAATACGGTACTAAAGAATAGAGAAAAAAACGAGAAAAAAAACACGAAGACCCAACATAAAAAACAACAACAACAAACTGATGCATGCCTGTTTTGTTTTTTGTTTTGTTTTTGTTTTCGTTTTGGGGGGGGGGTTGTTTTATTTAATAAACCACACACACACACACACACACTCACGGAGAGAGAGAGAGAGAGACACACACACACACACACACACACACACACACACACACACACACACACACACATACACACACACACACACACACGCACACACACACACGCACACATACACACACACACACACATATACCCACATACGTACGGCACATGAAGCTTCGAACCACAATTAATGGATGAAACGAATAACACTATCATATATATATATGCCCCTAAAATTTGGAATCTTGTCCCAAAAAGAATAATGTCTGTATTATATTCTCATGGACGACATAGAGACTTTAAGAAAAATCAAAATATGTTTGTTCAACTGTATATCCTCTGCCATTAATTTTGTATTCATCAGTGGGTCTGTGAGTTGTGTGTGTGTGTGTGTGTGTGTGTGTGTGTGTGCGCGTGTGTGTGTGTGTGTGTGTGTGTGTGTGTGTGTGCGCGTGTGTGTGTGTGTGTGTGTGTGTGTGTGTGTGTGTGTGAGTGTATGAGTGTGTGTTAAAGTGTGTGCGTGAGTGTATGCGTGTGTTGTTGTTGTTGTTGTTTTTATTTTATTGTTAATAATGTTATTGTTGTTGCTGTTGTTATATGATGTTGTTGTTGTTGTTGAGTGGTCTCACAATTTAAAAAAAATTAATTTGTCTGAATTTTGCATTGCACAGCGCTCTTGAAACTAGGCGTATATAAATTCCCATTATTATTATTGTTGTTATTATTATTATTATTATTATTATTATTATTATTATTATTATTATTATTATTATTATATAGCCTACACACACATACACACACGATCACACACACACACACACACACACACACACACAAACAAACAATCATACAAACGCACACACGCATGTACACACACACGTACGCGCACGCGCGTGCGCACAAGTTAAAAATGATCGGGGCATCTGCTATGGCCAATGAGACCAATCGCGCGCGCGTGCGCAAGTTAAAGAATAAAATGATCGGGGCATCTGCTACGACCAATGAGACCAATTTTGCACTGGAAATTTTGTCATATTTCGAGAACTCAAACGCAACACTTCCAGTTGTGGTAGTGCACATCTTGCGGGCTTCTTTCCTGGTTTCAGTATTTCTTATTAATGAAGCCTCATATATTTCGTCCATAGAGCACGGTCGTGCAGTGCCACCCAAAATTTTTTAATGTTCTATTACGAAAAGCACACACAAACATGAAATAAAAGAAGTCAGAAACAAACACTAGCCAAATATAATACATGTATCAACACAAGGTCCCCGCAGGCACTGTAACTGTAATTTATGTGTCAAAAGCGCCGTAAAACATCTACTGTGCCATGCCAAAGTCCACACGCTTTAACTAAACGAAATAGAATATTCAACTGCGGCTATCTGACCTATAAATCGCTCTTTGGGATAACCCTAGCTATGACGACACTCGTAGCGAGTTTGGCGGTACATTAATATTAACAAGACGGCACATCTCAAATGTGCACCCACGAAACATAGCCCACAGTAGGCAGTCTAAAAATAAACGGGATAGCCTGTACACTAGCCTAGCCTATTCAATGCCAAAATTATAACAATGTGATCCCCGGAGCAATCCAGCGGAGTGCTCAAGTGAATTGTGATTGGTTAATTGTCTTGCCACTATTTTAAGCGACTCTGTGACCGTGAACCCGAGGGAGGTGAACGTGACATACTTAAGTCACCGCCCTCTGTGTTGTGTCTTTGAATGGTTTTGTAGTGGAATGGTGAAAGTTATTACTCGAGTGTTCAGTTCCAATGCAGGATAAAGAAATTGAGGTTAAGCTAACAAACAGATTTAGTTCTAGAAATCAAAACAACCAGTAAAAAGAATGAAAATAAAAGCATAAAGCCCCCCTTCACCAACCCAAAGATCCTAGCATCCCATTTACTATGCCCTTGACTATCTTCAACCTCCTGTTGCCTAATTGTGCACGCCCACTTTTTAGCCCCACGTGCCGCCCCTGCTTGCAGCCCACTGTGACTACTGCTCGCCAGTTGGGTTTGTCAGCAGCTTGGATCTCCCATGTTGAAATATTTATGTTGAATTCCGTCAGAGACGTTTTCAGTGTGTCTTTGTAAGTTGCATTATTTTTTTTATTGAAGTGCACCGACTTTGCGATCCATCCTGCTGCGTGGTTGCTTACCATTGGTATGCTGCCATTAACTTCGAAGTTGCGACTGGAGAGAATGCTTAAAATTAAAGCGTCACCTGTTGCATATGACAAAGGGAACACACATAATAAAATTGCACACTGGTACCACGGAATACGTTGAGAGCCACTGAAGTGTTTCACTAAAATCCAGTAGTATGTGGCCGTTAAGGCTCAGTGAATCTTATTTACCCTGGCTGCTGAAATGCAAAGGGTACGCGCCCCGTGATGTCATGCTTCTATAATATTATTATATATTTACTTGGTTGGAGAAGGCATCGTTGCAGGAAGCACAATATGCCATAGCTGCTCTTCTCTCCTCATCAGGATCCATGAAAGGGTCTGCCTGCTGATCGTGCCTGTTAACAGCACTATTGTACCTGTATATATAATATCCAGATCGAGATCTAGATCTATATCATATTTGTGTACGTTCGTCACTTTAGTCGCTTAAAACTTCCGAATCACCTTTCGAATTTGAGAAAAAGAATAACGGTGGATCAGAATCATTTAAAGGGTGCACGGTTATGTTAAGAAGTCTGAAGTCACTGTAATTTAATTTTCAGTTTTTCATTAGTTTCGTTTTAATCTAATCATGGGAAAGTCCGTCTTCTAAGACGGTATTATAAACAAGTGAGGCTTCCGTTCACAAGCAGTGCGCACTGGTTCCACAATGACTTGACGATCACTTCTTTTGAGTCCGTTCATCCAGCTATACATAATACGTGAATGTGTGTGTATGTGTGTGTGCGTGTATGTGTGTGTATGTATGTGTGTATGTATGTGTGTATGATAAAACAGATCAGTCAGTTAACACACACACACACACACACACACACACACACACACACACACACACACACACACACACACACACACAAGTTTTCCCCATCTATCTATCTATCTATCTATCTATCTATCTATCTATCTATCTCCCACCCACTCATTCACTCACCCAGACAAACAACCACAAGTGCGCGTAAGTTGCACATACACACTCAACCCACAACAGACGAACACCCTGGTCCTGTTCCGAGATGTAATATAGGTTTTCATTCTTTCTAATCTAGTAGTAGTAGTAGATTTAGTAGAATTTGGCTATGGCACCATGGTGAGGTAGACATCATGAATGGTAATATATGATATAGAAGCAGCGTACGCCTCCAAACTGAACTAAATTGTGTCGATGGAGATGTAAAATAGTAGAAAGATTTACAGTTTTTAAATCTCTACTTGGTTCAATTCCGTTTTGTGTCGCGTAATTTGTTAATTCGTTCATTTACATTTATGTAAATTCTGTGGGGTAAGCGTTATTATACACAGCAACTTTTATTTGATTCAGGCGAGACACCCTGCAGGGAACTACGATCCAATAAATGAATAGGCTACGCAGTAATTATAGAGATCGATCTCACCCCCCCTCTCCTCCCCCCTTTCCCTCCCATCCCGCCTTCCCAAACATAGGTGTTTAACGGGTACTTGTTTCAGGCAATAACTAACACGGATACATAAGCCTAACATTCACAATTTCATAATTACATATTATCATTCTACGGAACATTTGATTTGCTTTTAAAAAAGTTATCGTTTTATTATTGGAGGCAAACTATGGGAAGACCAGAAGTCTACGCAGAACAGTTTTTAAAGTTTCTTCATGCCTGGCACGCTGCCAAAGCATGAGCATTAATAATGTATTTTTAGATTATCACAAGCATTCGTGGTAGCGTCGAGGCGGTCGTGTCTGAGCACAATGCACAGCATGAAAGGCCCTACATGTACATGAAGACGTGCATGTGCGCTGTCCGCCTAGGTTTACTGCGTTGTACATTAGTTATGTCGCAATTTTGTCACTGCATTTTCTCTTGTTTACGATGCCGACGAAGGTGGTCAACTGGATGAAAAAAACAACAACAGCAAACAAATAAAACTGTAGCATGACACTGGCAATGGGCCCGAACATAGCATCCTAGATTTCTAATTCATTTGATCAGGCATCAGTTTAATTCACCGTTATAATAACCTGTTTACGGAGACGCCTGTTATAATCTGTAGGCCCCATCTCGTAAATTAAAGTAATGGATCTGTGAATAGCCTATATTATTTTGTTATAAATATATAGATTCACCTTTGTTTGTGTGTAGACGATATATTAGATGGTCTGTCTCTGATAGATATTTCATTACAGATTTAAAATACAAAGATACAATTCATTTCAATACGACGGATTTTTTTCTGTTGTCAGAATAAACGCGGAATTTTCCAGTTTCGGTTGAATATTTAAGTCACTTCATGAAAACACCCGTACTATGTTGAGCCCTGTTTTTCATTCTAATACACGTACACGTACATAGAAAAAGCGAAAAAGCTCATGTGTACAGATACGCTCACAGTCACAGATTAGTAGCGTACATACA